ATTCCTGGTGGAGTTCAGAAATTTGAGAAAAGAAAAAAAAAGGAGAGAAAAATGAGAACAACAACCAAAAAAGCAGATTAAAAGCCTTTGTCCGCACACCAGAAAAGTTACGCATGGCTGACTCGGCAGCTTCGTTTATAAATTGAACGAGCAAGAAATGGAATATTATTCAGCACTGAAAAGGAGCGGGCTAGGCATGGTGTCACATGCCTTTTCCCGAAGCTCTCAGGAGGCAGAGGCAGAGATCTCTAGGAGTTCGAGGGTAGCCTGGTCTACAGAGAAATCTATGTCAGGTGAGCTACATGATGAGACCTTGTCCAAAACTAAGTAAGTAGATGATGAATAAATGAATGAATGAATGAATGAATATCAGGAAATTAATTTATGGAGGAACCTCAAATGTATAGTACTACTCCAAGGATGGCAGCGTACAGTATGCCTTCTAGAAAGCACTAGGCATTCTAGAGGAGAGACTACTATGGAAACAGTGAAGAGATCAAAGGTGTCTGGAAGAGTAAAGACCAGAACTTGGAGGACTCCTGAGAGCAGCAAAGCTACTTTATTTGATACTATGCTGGCAGATACACAGCACCGAGGGAGTGTGAGGGTTCTTCACCTCTAGAGTGCAGTTCAGCAGCGATCACCAAGGGAGACTGGAGTTCCACTGATACTGTATCTGTATACATCTGCCTGTTGCTACAAATGAAGTTGGTGACGGCCATGTTGACATGGGTGGTGTGTGTGTGGCCGCCAGGCATATACGCCAGTCTCTGTACCTTCTGATCAGTGTCACTGCGAACCCAAAACCATTCGAAAAATCATACCGCTTTTACTTCTTTTAGATGAGGGGAGGTTGCAAAAAGGCCTGGTCCTGTGGACAGGTACGCCAGCACACCCCTGTAATACCGGCCCTCGGGAGGTGGGGTCGAGCTGATCAGGAGCTCAAGGCCAGCCTGGGCTCTAGAAGCCGCTGTCTCCAAACAAAACAGACCAGCAGAAGAATGAAGGACAGGAGCTGGGAAGACTCTGTCAGTCAAGTGTTTGCCCATGAGGATCTGAGATCTAGCCAAGAACCGTGTAAAAGATGCCAGATGTGGGGGGAAGCGACCAGGATGTAAAGTGAACAAATTAATTAATGGGGAAAAAAGGGTGCCAGGTGTGGGGGTGCTAACCCTCGGGCTAGAGAAGGGTCAGAAATTCCAGGTCATCCTTGCTCTGTAGGCTAGCCTGGACTACATGGGAGCTCTTGCCCGGAAGACCCACCCCCAAAGTTGTCCTTCGGCTTTCACATGCGTGGCACGGTGTGCCCACACACTTCCACCGGACACAACAACAAATCAAAACATTTTAAACTAAACCCTACAAAAACAAAAAGCAAACACATTACAATTTAGCCTTCAGTTGGGCAGTTGCTCTCAGAAGCTCGTTAGTTTATTTTAAAGTTGTGTTTTCCTAAAAACCCGCCTTAGGGAGACCTCAGCTACCGGCCTTATCCAATAGCCTCCTTAAAAAACTGCTGACGTCAGACTTCTGCTGCCAGTCATGGTGCTACATGTCTGTAACACCAGCACTTGAAAGAAGAGGCAGGAGGATTGCCTCAAGTTTGAGGTTAGCCTGGCTTTCACAGTGATTTCCAGAGCAACCTGGGCAAAGAGTAAGACCCTGTCTCAAACAAAGAAGTTGGGGGCAGCAGTCTGGATGGTTCTCAGTAGATGGTATTTTCTTGCCTTATACAAAGCCCTGGGTATGATCTGAGCACTTTGGAAGAAAGTAGAGAAGGGTCAGAAATTCCAGGTCATCCTTGCTCTGTGGGCTAGCCTGGACTACATGCAAGCTTTTGCCCAAAAGAAAAAAAGAAAGCTGTATGGTGGTGACACATACTTTAATCCCAGCACTTGGAAGGCAGAGGCAAGCGAATCTCTGAGTTTGAGGCCAGCCTGGTCTACAGAGTGAGTTTCAGCCAAAACCAACCAAACCAAAAAGTTCTTGCTAACACAGTAGATTTCTGTAGTCAACCCCTCCCTTACGAGTGCTTTCCTGATGTAAAATTAAGTAGAAAGAGCCAGCAAGACCTAACTTTTCCAAGTTGGGTCTTCAGGACCCACACGATGAGAAGAAGAACTAACTTTTGAGAACGGTCCCCCGACTCCCTTCTGTGGGCCACGGTGTGTGCGCCCACACACTAAATCACATATAGAAACCAATCAAAATCGGACATCAAATCAAGAGTGGTGTCTCATACCTGTAGCCCTGGCACTTAGGAGGCTGAGGCAGGAGGATCATGAGTTCAGAGGAGGCTGGGCTGGATAAACAAACACATCTGCATCTCTTCCCCTTACCCCCCCCACACCCCCGACCTCCCCATTCCTTCTCCACAACACTTAACATGCTCCTACGTATGTATCCGATTCTTGTTGGGACAAATCAACCTTCATAATCCTGGCTGTGGCGATTACTGTACCTGGGGTAGTGGCTAGAAGGTAGGAGTTCTATAAATACTTAATACAGGCTACATCATCTCAGTCGGTTGCTGGGTACAATGTCACTTGTGCAAGATGTCTTTCTCAAGAGGATTGAAAGGCATTATAAAGCAAATTCTTTCATTTGTGGAGCGAGCTCTTGTATGTAGTCCCGGAGAGAAGGAGCTGGGGCTACGTCTTATAATCTCCTAATTCGAGTCTGGGCCCCAGTGATTGAAGGATTTTTTTTTCCCATTAAAACGGCCCATATCCTCAATTTACTATGAGGATCATGCATTGTCCCAGGAGGGCCACCCCAAGAAGGATTTGTTGCCCCTTGTGAGCAGAGCGAACTGAACCAGCTAGGTAGCAATGAACCTGCTGTGGGAGTGGACTTGAGTCACTCAGTACCACTGTGCTACAAGCTAGTTATTGATACAAGGAAATATAGGCTTTCTGCCGCAGGGTACTGAACGAAGATACCAATGAAGGCTGCTATCTCAAGCTGCTACGTACAGTCTTGGATGGCTCTGAACAAACCATGCCTACTATTTCCCAGCCTCTGAGCCACCTGCCAAAAACCTGGGCCCACAACACTCACAGATCTGCCCTTCCCGGTGTGTCTCAGAACAAGGAACCGGAAGTTCTAGGGAGAATCAGGTCACTAATACTGGGCACAGGGAGTGGTTACCTGGTGACCCTCATCTCTCTCTCCCATGACACACCTCAGGTTCTAGCTTAGCTTAGGTTCTAGTTTAGGATGCTTCCCATCCCACCCCCCCAATCCAGGGGATGCTGAGAACCTGGGAGAGCCTGAGAAGAAGAAAGACAAATAGGGAAAAGGCAAATTTGTTTGTACCCGGTGGCAGGATGTACCTGCTGGGCTTTCCCACAAGTTCCTTAAGGACACTTAAAAGGGACTCACTCTCCCTGGTGGTGTGATGGATGGGGGAGGGGTGTGTGCTAAGAGGAACAGGATAGCACCTCTAGGTTGGGACCTCGGATGGGGCACACATGGTCACAAAGGTGAACCAGTGCAGGATGGGTTACACAGGCGGCTACTGGGTTACACTGGGTGGATGGAAGGAAGAGAGGAGAAAGGGGTGTGGGGTAAGGTGGTAGGGAGGGGCTTGTAAAGACACCTTAGTCTCCTGTTTGGACCATTTCTAACGGTGGTTTCAACCAGGGAAGTGAAGGTATCCCTTGGGCTTGAGCGAGGAGGGTGGACCTGTCTCTCGATCACTTATGAGGGACTGTCTTGGTCTTCCCAGGCTGTAGAGAAGGAGTTTGGGGGTGAATGAAGAGACATGGGGTTCAAGCACTAAGAGGAGATGCTAAAGAACCCTGAGTTAGAGGGAAGGCAGGAGTTTGGCTTCAGAGAGGGAAATGAGTTACGAGAGAAGTTAACTCTAAACCCAGTGGACGAGCAGTCCAGATTCTTCCAAATCAGATTGAAGGGAGCTGGGACCCCAGATGAAGGAGGTCATTCGGAGGGGAAGGTGCACAGCCGTGTCACCGGGATCCCGCCCTGGGACCTCTGAGACACAGACTCCTCTCACCGATTCATTGGGGATCCGGCCGGCGAGCGTCTAGAATCAGGTTCCCCCCCCCCCAACTCCAGAGAATCCGATAGGGGCTGGAAGTGAGACAAGAAGAGGTACCCTCAGAAGGGCGGGGGAGATGACCACCTGAGAAACCTGGCTCAAGGCTAGGCATTCTCTCAACAGACCATAGGGGTCCCAGGTGTGGAGAGAAGAGATTTAGGGAGTCTCAAGGCACGCTTAATTTGGACAGCAAGGGCCGAAGAGAAGCAAACAAAACTGAGAAAGACTCTACTAGTGTGCTGATAGATGCTCCCCACTCGGGACGCGAGGCACTGCGAGGGCTCCCCAAATCGGACGTGGGAAACTAGGAGTGGACTGGAGATTGTTGTCTAAATTAGGTTCAGGAGAAGCTGGGGGGCTCCAAGGGTGGCTTCTCACTCGGACTGGAAAAAAAGAGAGATTCTTACCAGTTGGAAGATGTGGGGATTGGGGATGGGGGGTGGGGAGGGGGCACTGGGCTATCCCCAACCCGACCCAGGAAGATTGGGGGCATCGTCTAAATTCTCAATAGCGGGGACCTGGGAGGAAGGACTAGGGAGGGTTCCCCGATCCGAAGCCGAGCTACCTTGAACGCACCGGGAAGCGCTTCATCCCGGGAGGGCGTTCCCCGTGGCTGGGCCCCCCGCGCCGTGGGTGAGGGGTGCGGCCGCGCCCCGGGCCCGAGCCCGCACCCGGAATCAGGGGACCTCGCTCGCCCCCCGGACACACAGGAACCCCGAGGGAGTGCGGGCGGGGGGGGGGCCCGGCGCCACCGCCTCCACGGGCGCCCGGGCGCGCGCCGGGCTTTATGCGCGCAGGGCGGCGGGGGGAGGAGCCGGCAGGTCGGCCCCCGGCGGGCCCTCCCCTTGGCCGTCCCCGCCCGCCCGCCCGAGCGGGGTCGGGGGAGGGGGCAGCATGGCCTGTCCGTCCGGCCCCCTTCGCCGCGCTCCTCATCTGCCCCGCGCCGAGCGCCGCCGCCGCCGCCGCCGCCGCTCCGCTGCCCGCGCCGCCCGCGGCTCCCGATGGAGACTGACGCGCCCCAGCCCGGCCTCGCCTCCCCGGACTCGCCGCACGACCCCTGGTACGGTCCGGCCCGGCCCGGCCCAGCCTGCCCAGCCCGCGTCCGCCCCGGCCCCGCCAACATGGCCGATCCGGGTCGGGCCGGGGCCTCCCCGGGGCCCGGGCCCGCGCCCCCTGCTCCCTGGCGCCCGGCGCTCACGCGGGCCCTTTGTGTCTCTGCTCCTCCCGCAGCAAGATGTTCATCGGAGGACTCAGTTGGCAGACCACGCAGGGTGAGCCAGCCCGGGGATCGCCCGCCGGCCCCCGCACCGCCACCCTGCACCCCTTAACGGCGCCCCAACCCCGGACGCCCCTGCCCGGCCCCGCGCCCCGCTGACCCCGGGCGCCCTCGTGCCCTCTTCCGCGCCCCGCCCCGGGGACCCCGAGAGCGCAGCACGCTCGGCGAGCGCGCACGGCCCGGCGCGGGTTGGGGGGAGCAGTTGTGGGGGGGGGGGAGGTTCAGGGGGCATCGGGGAGGGGGGGCGGGCTGGGCCCCCGGGACCCGCCAGCGGCAGCTTCAACTCCGCTCGCACCTGCGGCTCAAACTTTTGTTGAGGCTGCTCCCTGAGCGGCGGGAACCCAACCGGAGCGGTCCCCCACTCCAGCCCGGCCCCGGCCCTTGCCTTGCCGAGGCCCCGGTGGGCGCCAGGAAGGCTCCGCGGGAACCCCCCGGCGAGGGCAGGGGTGTGTGGGGGGGACGGCCGCGGAGAGCGCGCGCGGGCAGCTCGGCGCGGGGGCGGCGGGGCCGCGCCGGGGTCACCGGGGGCAAAGGACGGGGGAGGAGGGGGAAGGGCTCCGGGCCTGGGCTGGTCCGAAGGCGAGTGTGTGGTTACAGAAGGGCTGCGCGAATACTTCGGCCAGTTCGGGGAGGTGAAAGAGTGTCTGGTGATGCGGGACCCCCTGACCAAAAGATCCAGGTGAGTCCCGGAGACCTCGCCTGCCACCGGGGCTCGCCCCTCCCGCCGCGGCCACTCGCTGTCCTTGTAACCATCTGCCTCTCCCTCACTACGCGGCGCAGGGGTTTCGGCTTCGTCACTTTCATGGACCAGGCGGGGGTGGATAAAGTGCTGGCGCAATCGCGGCACGAGCTCGACTCCAAAACAGTGAGTGTGGCCCTCGGGGTTTGGGGGGGGGGGTGGGGGCGTCCTTTGGGAGAGGGAGGCTGCCGGAGGAGAGAGAGCCGGGACTCTCTCTCGTGGGGACAGTTGGATGGAGTTTGCTGAGTGCCAGAGCTGTCATGCCCTGAAAGTTTGTTATTGGAGTTGAGGACAGAGGGAGGAAAGGGAAGAAAAAAAAAAAAGAGTCAGGCCTGGGATAAGATGTCACACACCCCACCTCGAGTATTGGTGAGGGACGCAGCAACTACTACCCTTTCTCTGTGAGTACTAATCTTGGTACTTCTGGCTTTGGGGTGGAGCCGGGTGCCTCTCCTACCCCAGATTGAGTGAGTCAGGGCTACAGTTACCCACGGTGGCTTCTCTGAAATCTAACTACCGTTTGACTCCGTGACACCCCCTTTTCCATTCCAGACCAATGGCAAAGCATCACAGGCCCCCCCCCCAACCCCCCCCCCCTTTCTCCTTCCCGGACTTTGGTCAATGAACTCCTTGCTTTTGTAGAAGACATGGACCTTCTTTATCCTTACAGGGGATTTATGAACAGGGAGCTAGCGTACATGGAAAAAAAAAAAAAAAGTGCTCTGCCGACCAGATCTTAGGAGACCCTGCCTGCTTGGCATTCAAACTCCTGGAACATTTTGCTTCTTTTCCCAACGTTCCCAGTGACTTGGACCCTGCAGGGGGCGCTGGCGGAGGCCAGCTCGGGGGTTCCAGAAGGAAAAAGAGAAACCAGAGGAAGGCTCACTTGATGATGGGGGGGTGTCTGTCTGCCGCGGGGGGGGGGGGGGCGGGGACAATGTGACCTCTCTCTACACTCTCCCATTCTTCCTCAGTCCTGGGCCTCCTTACTTGGGCCAGTTACTGGCTCCTGTTTACCTGCAACAATGGCTGGTTGTGCCCAAGAATTTGTTAAATTACCGTCTGTCCCCAGGTCCTGTTATCTCTGCCAGTGGCTCCCACTCCTTCACACAGTAATGAGCAAACGAGGCCAGGCCTCGACTTTGCCTGTTCTGAAAGGAGCTTCTTGGCTCAGCCTGAGTGACCCAGGCTGGGAAAGAAGAGACAGTGGCCTATTGTTTTTGGCGATTATCTGCTGTCAGACGGCCTGTTCTGCTATACCCTACCGTCCCCCTGTCCTCAGAATGCACCGATGGCTTCTGCTGCTCTCAGGAAGCTGAGTGCTGGGGTGGGGGTAGGGGGGCTGGAGGCGTCCGAGATTGATAAGGGGATGGGGCGGGGGAGGATGCTGAGAGACGGTCATCCTTAGGATACGGAGACTGCCAACCAGAAGGGCTTTGTCTGTGTTTAGCATCTCTGGGCTGGGGAAGGGGGCGGGAACGAGTCTATTTTTGGGTTCTGAATTTCACCTTTTATTTACTTGTTGGGCTTTATTTATGTTGCCAGCTGTGAGTCAAGAGTGGAGGTGGGATGCGTTTGTGTGTGTGTGTGTGTGTGTGTGTGTGTGTGTGTGTTGGGGATTTGCTGTATATGGGTCTGGGGGAGTGTGACTCGGGTACCGTTGCTCCATCGGGGGTCTGTGCAGTAGGCTGTTTGAGGTAGGTGGCTGGGGAGGCTACATCTGGAAGGAAGAGGGTGAGGATATATAAAATCACAACGTCAGATGAACAGTGGGTGGGTTCGGTTTCCCCTAGAGATCACAGGACCTTGCTACAGGAGGGACATTGCCCTAGTACAGGCTTTGGAGATCCGTCTCTGGGCAGATTCCAGGAGGGGAGCTGGCCGAAGGTAGCTTCCTGGTTCATGCCATGTGGACAGAGGGAAGTTGGGGCCAGTTGTCTAGAAATCTGAGTTTTGAACAGAAGGAACTTTGGGAAAGAGATAAATCTCGCTTGTGATTGGCTGGTAACTTCTAAATGATGTCCATCCGTGTGAACGGCAAGAGTTGTCGTGGCCAGGCCTCATGGGGGTCCTGTCTTGGTCACAGACTGTTTCGTGTTCTGTTTCTTACTGTCTGTCGGCTCGGCTAGAGCGCCTAGGAATGGTACCCAGGTGTGTCCTGATTTCGTCAAGGGCAAAGGTAGCCTGGTAATGGCACCTTTGTTTGTGCAGCGGAGGGACGTTGACAAAGGGCTGCTTTCAACCTTTATCTCATTCAGATCCCCCGCAGCCGCCCTCCGAAGGAGTGGGTGTGATTGTCCCCACTCTGCAGATGCGTGGACTGAGGCTTAGAGAGGCCCATGAAGCTACCAAGATTACAAGCTTGGCCTTTAGCCCAGCGTCTGCTAAGTTCTCATTCCCTCTCACACCATGAAAGACTGCACTCAGCCTCGCTGTCCGATAGGAGCTGTTTGCAGCCCCTAAGGAGGTTCTGTCAGCAGTTGGAGGTAGTAGGGCAACGGGTACTGAGTTTCTTCCTGGTGGATCCGAACTCTGACCTTCACATCCTTTTCAGGCAAAGACTAGATCGTCCTGTAAAAGTCTTGTTCACAAAGTCAGAATTACACATGCCACCTTAGGTGGTAGGTACCGATGCTGACACCCTTGTGAAGTTCGTTTGTCGAGGCCTTCGGTGTAGCCGATATTTGGTGAAATCAGACTTAGCTCACGTTGTTTTGTTTGTTTGTTTGGTTGGTTTTTGGTTTTTTTCCTGTGGGCTAGACACCAGGTTACATGCTCTGTGAGCTTTATTTGAAGTGATCTTCGGACGGACCTTTGGGGTGGTTACCAGTTGTCCGGTTAGCAGGTGAACTTGGCCTTGAAGCTCTGAGGGTCTCACAGCTAGAAAGCTCTGTCTGTGTGTGTGTGTGTATGTGTAGCTTGCTTTAACCACTTTGTTGTCTTACCTAAAACTTTTGTGGTTTCTCTTACTTCTGTGTCCTGGCATGGAGGAAGCTGGGGGTTGGCCACCCAAGACTATATATGATACCCAAGACTACTAATATGTCCCTTCTCTTACAGATTGACCCCAAGGTGGCCTTTCCTCGGAGAGCACAACCTAAGGTAGGTGTGTGATGGGGGATAAGGAGCAGGGAGGGGGTTGCTGGGAAAGTTCCTTTATTCTGGGCGAGTTGGGGTAGTGTGGTTTTCCCAGCATGCTCTTCTGTGGCAGATGCTTCTGGAGCATCTGTTGGGAGTGTTTCTTGAATGGGCAGGGGTAAGGAGAGAGGATGTCTGTTGCATAGCATTAAGACACTACTCTTTCCACCCATGTGCTGGGGTGGAGAGCAGATACAGAGGGATTGGGGATTGATTGCTTTGCTGTTCTGTGTTTGAAGCCAATACAGTTTGGACCCAGAGTGTAATTCTGGCCTGGCGGATCTCAACCTCTGGATGTTGAGCCTTGCAGAGGCAAACACGGGGTGGGCTTGTCCTAGGCTTTTGGTGAGGGAGCTTGCATCTGACACCAGATCACCCTCCTGTGTCTGGTTTGAGGTGTGTTGGGCTTTCAGAGGGGAAGGGAGGCAGAAGACTTTCAAACCTTCCTGTTGGGTTTTCACCTGAACCTCTGTGCCTCTGTAAAAGGATTCTGAGTGGTTGAGCAGAGAGCAGGAGGATGTGTGATGCAGGGCCAGGGACCTTAGACTTGATTCCAGACATCATGGCAGCTGGCCAGATCTTAGGTTTTAAGCAATTGACTTATGGGGACTGGAAGAAAGGCCAAGTTCCAGTACCAAGAGTCTGGACCCCTACATTTATTTGTTGAGATCATCCCAAGCCTGCATGTTCCTTCTCCTGGAGGTCTCAGTTTCTCCCTTGATGGCAACCAAGGTGCTCTGAGATTCTGAGCCATGAATTCCATCAAGGCTGCCAGCTCCTACTGGGGCAGAGAACGGAACAAGTTCTAGAAGACAAGCGAAGGGTATCCTTGGAAAGGATCCAGCCTGAGGTTCTGAAAGCAATTATGGGACAGGTATTCGAAGGAAGCCACACCAGGGAGCACATGGTCAGAATTGGGTTAATTCCATTAAGCAGTTTGGTGACAGAAGGTGCTTCAGTGTTAGGACCGGGCTGGGAATTGCCTCGGATTAGCCATGCCGCTCCTGGGGTAATTAGGACCATGTGGTCTTCCTAAAACAGGGCTGGGGGCCACAACGCTGCCAGAGGTTGGCTTGGGAGGAAGGTTGATGAGGAGACCCTGTGGTAGCTTTGGTATCTCCCAAACTGGTGCAGTCTTCATGGTAGGCAGAGAGTCTAGGCCATTGGCATACCGCCCCCCCCCCCTTTGTATGGTTCCTTAGGGAAGGCATTTTCCATACACAGACCCCAGGGAGGGGGTATACTCAAGCCAGCCAGGGTGTGGGGCACACAGCTGCCTACGACAGGCTTGAGGCAGGAGTCCAAGGGGGAGCTTGGAAGGGGGCCTTGGAGAAGCTGGGGCCACAGAGAGCTTGTCATCTGCCATCCTGGCAGGGGGGACCCCCCCTCCTCAGGCCCTGCTGGTGGCCGTAGGCCACAGGACTCAGATGCCCACTTTCTCCTTCCTTCCCCTGACAGATGGTCACTCGAACGAAGAAGATCTTCGTGGGGGGGTTGTCTGTGAACACCACGGTGGAAGACGTGAAACACTATTTTGAGCAGTTCGGAAAGGTAGGTCTTTCTCTGCGGGTGGTACTTTTGCGGGGTCTGGGAAAGCATCAGAGAGTTTATAGATCAGGAGGAGCAGGCCAGGGGGTGGCAGTCAGATCACCTCAGTTACTGTGAATGGCAAAGAAGGTTCTGGCCCTCCTGCAGGAGAGGTTAGACCAAATCACCGTTTGGGATCCAGACTCATCTGTGGACCCGACTCTGGACCTCTTCAATAGAGTCTTTCATTATACCTTTCTACCCTTCCTCCGTATTTTTCTCCTGCTTCTCATCACTCTCCCGAGGGAGGAGGTGTTTCTGTAGCCAGCTCAATCCAGCGCTCCCCTCCCCTTGTCCTCTTGGGAGTTTGCACCTGTCCAGGCCACAGGCAGCTGCACCTTCCTTCCCCTCCCCTCCCTTTCTAGGGAGAATGATAAGAAAGCAATAGATAAAAACCCTTATTGCTTTCGGGTACCCTGCTTAAACAGGTGGGGAGCTAGAGATGGCTGCCCATCCCCAGGTACTGGAACTGAAGAAAACACCCTAGAGTCCGCTCCAGCCCGAGAGGTCACTAGCTCTCAGCTCTTGGGTGTGTCGAGAGATTTAATTTCTGGGCCTTGGGAGAGAGGTAGTCTGTCAAAGAGAGATGGGTGTGGTACCACCCAGACAATAAAAGTATCCATACAAAAGCAAGCAGGGTAAACCTCACGGTTCTAAGGGGGAGACATGACTAAGGGGGTCTGTGTGAGATGCAGGGATACAGGAGGAATGAATGCACGCCTGAGTGTTTCAGGTGATCTGGGTCCCGTGCCCACTCCATCATGGTATGTGAATTCCCCATCAGGCCAAGCTGGACCAGGCTTGGGAGCTAGGCAGTGAGCGCTGGCTGGCTGGGGGGTCTGCAGGCCAGAGGATGCTGACGTGTCGAGGCCAAGAGGCCTCGGCTCAGGCGCCTCCTTGGGGATCTGGGTCCAAGACGCAGGGCAGGCCGAGCCTGGGCCCCAGAGGGAAGGGCGCTCCTGGGAAGCTGCAGGCCCGGCTCGGCTCCGGCGGGGTGTCTTTGTGTCTGAGCACCGAGCATTAGAGCCCGCACTAATCTGATCCAGCAGCTGTGATTGGAGGCCGCCTGCCCCCGGGGCCGGCGTTGCCATGGCAACCGGGCCCCAGGAGAAGCCGTCAGCGGCCGCGTCTTTTGTTCGGGCCTAAATCGGCGTTGGCATGTGAAACCGGCCCGGGGAGGCCAGGGGGAGCTGGAGAATAGGCTGCCAGGGAGCGAGGGGGACAGCCGGGAATGCCAAGGGCCCCGCGGCTGCCCCCCACCCACCCCGCCCGGATCGAGGGGCCGCCACCGAGGGGGGAACAATGGTCAGCCGCCATGGCTGCCACTCAGGCTTAGCCGCCGCCGAACTTGGCGGCTCCCACTGGTCAGCAGGCCTCGGTCGCCTCCCCTCCCCCCTCCGGAGCCCCCCTGCCCCCAGGTTCCCATGGAGACCAAAGCCTATTAAGGACACTGGGCTGGGAGCCTCCCTCCCCTCAGCCGGCCCCAGGAGGGGACACCACTTGGTGGGGGTACCCCAGACCCCTAGCCACTCTCCTCCGGTGGGAGGGGGGGCTGCCCTGGCCACAACCCCACCACGGCGATGGGGGTCTGTCCAGCTAAGCCCACCTTGAAGGATGTTGGGGGACCAGGGATGTTGTGTATGGAAGGGAACCGGAAGGACTGGATTTGACCTGAATCGGTTTGTGGGTCAGGCGAGAAACTCAAAGCTACGGGATTAAGGAGGAAGGTGTGGCTGGTTTTTCTGTTCATTCACTCCTCCATTCAAAAAAATAATTAATTGAGCACAAGTCAGGATGCTCTGTAGAATAGTGATGACGATTACAACTGAAGCAGCTGTCCTGGTGGGACCAGGGAATCCGCCCCTGTTGGGGCTGTGGGCGAGTCCCTCCATAATAGAGATAGCAGCTGCTGTTTATTGAGCGCACCCTGAACCCCAGCCCTGGAAGTTGAGTGTTCTTCGTACGCCTTACACCTAACTCCTGTAGGAAATAGTATTATACCCATTTTACAGACCGAGGGAATCAAAGCCATAGAAACCTAAAGCCATTTACCCAAAGACACCCGGTCAGCCAACACAGTATCTGAGATGCTAGCTTTTAGCTCGCCCTATCTGAAGCCTGTGCTTCGAGCAAACCCTCACAGGTTTCCATTTTCCAGTGCTTCTGATGTGCTGAGCCCAAAGATGCTCGGCCTAACTGGCTGTTTGGGGTTAGGAATAAGAGAGCGAAGATGGCAGGCTGCTGCAGGAAGCCATCATTTTTCTGAGATTCTCCGGGAACCCCACTGCCTCTTAGTTCAGGGTGGCCTGGTCTAGATTAGTCCCTAAGGAGAGCTCCTAGGTTCTCCAAGGAGATCCACTCTAGTTCTGGGTCTGCTTTAATGAGGCATGAGAGACAGAAGACAGATGGGGAGCCTTGGGTTCCGAGGGGCTAGGCTGTGCCTTCTCCTAGTCTGAGGACTTCCCCCTTGACTTTTGGAATCAGGTCAGTGGTTGGAGTGGGGTGTGAAGACTTAGGGGGTCAGAGGTAGCCCAAGAAGGATGCAGAGGGACCAGGGGATACCCTTGCTTGTGACTGAGATACCCTTGCTTGTGCCACGGCTGGGGTTCAGGGGAGTGTAGCTAATGTAGACCCTCCTCCTCCCTCCCCTCTTCCCCTCCCCCAGCCAGTGCAAGGCAAGCAACCCAGGCAGTGAACTCTGCTTGGTTTAATTACAGCCTCTAGCCAAAGGAAACCTCAATTAGAGCACAGGGCTGTAACAGAAGGGAGTCTGGCTGCTGGCCTTTTCCAAAACGGGAAGAGGCTTTGCTTTCCCCACCTCGTAATCTTGCTCCCCATGTTTCTTTCTCTACCAAGCACCTTACTTCTTCTGTAGCCTTTTCCTCCCTGGCTTCGTGCAGGACTGACTTACTGTGTGACCTTGGGCAGGTGACTTCACCTCTCTGAGCCCATTTTCCTCAGCTATACAGTGGCGACGAGCCTGTGCAAGGAATGTTGGGATGATAGAGGCAGAGTGTCAGGCATACATTTGGAGTTTAATTAATACACACTGTTCTGTTGATAATCTGATGGTTGTCTCTGGTGTACTCCAGGTCTAGGATACTGACTCCTGGAGGGCAGACAAGAGGGATGTAGGGGTTTTTTGGGGGGGGCGGGGGGCTGGTGTCTGTGGGGCTAACACAGAAGTGTGTGTTTCAGGTGGACGATGCCATGCTGATGTTTGACAAAACCACCAACAGGCACAGAGGTGAGTGCGGCCCCTCCCCCTTCCCAGGCTGGGCCCAGGACCCTGGTCAGCCAGGGGGGCTGCAGGTCACAGCTGCCCTTTCATGTTGCCTCCTGACATCCTATCCCTGAGAATCTGCATCCTCTCCAGGGCCTGGCCTTACAGAAGGCTTTTGTCTTCTCCTTTCCTGCGTCAGAAACTTTGCCAATTGCAGAGGAGCAGAGGACACCCCCCCCCCACAGTGCCCTGCACCCCTCCTTGGCCAGTGTCTGCTCTGGCCTGGGCTTACCTTATCCCTGGAAACCAGAGCTGAGACCAGGCTGCCCCAGGGTCAGACTGACTGTAGAGCCTCAGGCAGTCTGGTTCACCATGGCTTCTCCGCTAAGCCCAGGCTCCGCCCTGAACCTCATTGCGTGTGGACCTCTAGACTGTGTCCTGCCTGGTTGTTTTCTCCCAGCCCCTTGGGGGACTCCCTGAAGAAGCGATTGGGGCAGTTTCTCAGTGACTTCAGGGTTTGGGGGCTTTTAGCCTCTTTGAGCAGAGCGGAGTGGGTCATGATTGTGTAAGAGATGAAGTGGAGGTGAGGGGATATACCAGGTACACCAAGGCAAGCATACCTGTAGAGGGCCCCTGAGTGTCTGTGAAATGGGGTTTGTGTGGACACTATAGAAAGGTTTGTGTGTGCGCAGCTGAGGGGAATAAAAAGGCCTGTTAGGCGTGAGGTCGTCCTTCTGTTTCTGTGGATTTTGCTCTTCTGGGTTCAAGCAACCTCGGTTTGAAATGTCTCCCCTCGCCCTTAAAAAAAAAAACAAAAACAAAAACTGATATCTGAAGTACTGAGGATGGGAGAGATGCCAGACCCTAGTTGTGTCTTCAGCACAAACGGAGAAAGCTCCCAAGTCCTGACTTACCTGTGTACTGAGCAGGTACAGGTGTTTTCCTCTCATCCATTCTCTGGACCGTAGAGTGTAATAGGATGTAAGAATCACCCTTGTTAGGGATGAAAAGTTCACAGAAGGACATGCATGGGTTGTAAGCAAACGTGCCAGTCTGTATAAGGAACTCAAGCCCAGCTTAGATATAGATTTGGGGGAGGGGGTCAGGGCAAGCACCTGGGACCCTTAGTGCTCTGGTTCCAAAGGAAAACTGTTTTCATGGCGGCTCTGCCACTTTAAAAAAAAAAAAAAAGATTTGCCAGGCAGTGGCAGAGCAAGGCCTTAATCCCAGCAGAGGTAGGAAGGCAGAGGGCAGGCAGTTCTCTGAATTCAAGGCCAGCCTGGTTTACAGAGCTGAGTTTCAGGACAGCCAAGACTACCCAGAGAAACCCTGTCTCGAGAAGCCAAAAAAAAAAAAAAAAATTTATTTATGTGCGGGAGTCTGTGTAAATATGTGTGTAAGCCGTGTATGTGTGGGAGGTCTCAGAGGACAACTGGAGTTACAGGCTGTTGTGAGCTGCCCCATAGGAGCGTGAGGGAAGTGAACTCTGGAAGAGCAGCAAATGCTCATAGCTGCTGAACTGTCTGTCCCTCCAGTCCCAGTATTACCCCTCTCTAACTTGCTGTGTGACCTTGGACACGTTAGTTCACCTCTCTGAGCCTCCGCCTGCTCATCTGTAATTTGGGACTGGAAACCTTGACTCAGCCAGTAGTTGAGATGCTCTTAGGCTACGTAAAGAGCCTTTCATTAACTCTCAGACACTTGCCCGCAAGAGATGAGCCGTGGTGTGTGTGTGGCGAGGGGCTGGGTGACGACCACGAGCCCTGCTTCTGACCCTGCCCCGCCCTCGTCTAACCTCTAGGGTTTGGGTTCGTCACGTTCGAGAGTGAGGATATCGTCGAGAAAGTGTGTGAGATCCACTTCCATGAAATCAACAACAAAATGGTGAGCTGGGACGGGTCGGAGGTCTGGGTTCGGAAGTCGGCGTTCTGGGAGACTGGAACTCCAGGAGGAGGCAGTCAGGGAAGCTCTGGGGTTCCGTAAATAGGCAGGGGGGGGGCCTCTCCTAGAAATCAGCAGAGTCTGTCATCCTGAACCTTTCAGGATGCAAAGATGAAGTGGGTGACTTGGGACGGTCCCTCTCAGAGCCCAAGTTTCTGCTTTTATATGGGAATCCCCCGGCCTGGTGGCAATGGCGGTGAATGCCTTTCAGTCCAGCCTAGTCTACAGAGTGAGGTTTAGGACAGCCAGGGCTACACCGAGAAACCCTGTCTCGAGAAAAAAAAAAAAAGAAGAAGAAAGAAAGAAAGAAAAAAAAGAAAGAAAAAAGAAAAGAAAAAAGAAAGAAAAGAAGAAAAAAGGAAAAAGGCAAGGAGCGATGTTGGGAATCCCAGCCCCATGTGATAGCACAAACCTATAATCTCAGCTTTCTCGGCAAGAGGATTGTCACAAGTTCAAGGCCAGCCTGGTCTGTATAGCAAGTTGCAACCAAGCCAGAGCTACACGATAAGACCCTATGATACAATAACCAAAGTTAGTTAAAACTAAAAGTAAGTCAAATAGGAATCAGTGCTAGTTCACAGTAGGTTTGGCGCGATCACTCAGCGACCAAACTAGTGTACGTAAAGCCCCTTAGACACGGCAAGCGCTCTTGTAAGCGGTAACTGGGATAGGGATAAAGAGGCCTGCTGTAGAAAAGGGAAACTGACCGTCAGCCTTCGTTACAGGTGGAATGCAAGAAAGCACAGCCAAAGGAGGTGATGTCCCCGACGGGCTCGGCCCGGGGCAGGTCTCGAGTCATGCCCTACGGAATGGACGCCTTCATGCTGGGCATCGGCATGCTGGGTACGTGCCAGGCCTACACTTGTGGCTTCTTCCTGCCTAGTCCTGCCCCCGGGGCTTCTGGGGGGCGGGGGCTGGGTGGGTGTGACTTCTCCTCCATGGTCTGCCCTTCTGTCTGAGTCAGAGTAAAGGCAAAACTCTGCTTCAGATCTGGCAGGCTGCCCGGGGTGGACAGATCGGCGTGGAGCACCGCCCTCTTGTGGTGGTTCCGATACACTGCGGCCGTTCCGTATTATTTGGTCTCTGTCTATTCGGGTTATCTGTATCCCTCTCGTGTTGAGCACCTTATGCGTGTCGGGAATTCCAGCAATGACTTTCCTGAGCTCAAGATGAAGTGTAGGCTACCAAGAGAGTGTGGTCATAAGAAATTGGACTAGGAAACTACGTATAAGTTACACTGAGTGTGCAGGTTGGGTGTGCGCCCCCAGCAGGTCACTGGGCAGACGGAGAAAGTGTACCAGACCCAGGGAGTAGCATTTACAGAAGCCCAGAGGCCTGAAAAAAGCCTCCTCATCTCACTCAACTAATTTTTACGTTGTTGTTTTGTTTGTTTTGTTTTGTTTTGTTTTGTTCTTGAGGGGTAGGATCTGCCGTCACAGGGCTATGGTTCAACTGAAAGACAGGAATGTCTCCGTAGAGGGACTGGAGGCCCTGGGAGGATAGAGAAGCCACCTAAACAACCATGGGAGGCTCCCTGGAGTAGGTGATGGGACTGGCCATGAGCCTTGAAAATCAGCTAAGAGTTAACTGCACTTTGAAAAGCACCTAAGCGGCTGGGGCGATGGCTCAGAGGTTAAGAGCATTAGCTGTTCTTTCAAGGGACCCAGGTTCGATTCCCAGCACCCGCATGGCAGCTCACAGCCATCTGTAGCTCCAGTTCTAGGGGATCTGACTCCTTCCAGCCTTCATGGCACTGTGCACCCGAGTGTGTGGACGCACACGCAGATAAAACACTTGTGCGCACAAGAGGAAAATCAAATTTGTATAAAAATATTTTCTAATTTTAAAAGGGGTGGTTGAAGAGATGGCTCAGTGGTTAAGAGCACTGGCTGCTCTTCCAGAGGTCCTGAGTTCAATTCCCAGCAACCACATGATGGCTCACAACCATCTGTAATGGGATCCGATGCCCTCTTCTGGCACGCAGGTGTATATGCAGATACACATTAAAATATTTTTTTAAAAAATGAATTTTAAAAATGAATTTTAAAAAATGAATTTTTGGCCGGGCAGTGGTGGCGCACGCCTTTAATCCCAGCACTTGGGAGGCAGAGGCAGGCGGATTTCTGAGTTCAAGGCCAGCCTGGTCTACAGAGTGAGTTCCAGGACAGCCAAAAAAACATAAAAAAAAAAAAAAAAGTGCCTAGATTGTGAGGTGTTATATATAACATATATGTTAACCCTTAGGGAGCACATGTTAGAGGACATACACACACAGACACACACATACTCACACATATATACATATACACAGACACATACATACACACACATACATACATATATACACATAGAGACACACACAGACATATATTCACACAGAGACACACACATACACACACATACTCACACATATGCATACATATATACACATAGAGACACATACACAGAGTAAACAGGGAGCAGAGACCTAGCTCAGCTCTCCCATATTCGCTGCCTTTGTAGAGATCCTGGGTTTCGTTCCCTGCACTCACACATGGCCTCACCTCCAGTTCCAAGAGACCCTGCAGCTCCTCTCCTTCCGTGAAGGTGGTGTGCACAGAGCAGGCACGCACACACACACATACATAAAAACAGTGAAAAGACGAGCGTGCAGCCCGGGGGAGTTAGTGGCTAGCCTGGTCCAGGACGAGGCTGGAGAGTTGGGTGTGTGGCTAAGAGTTAAATCGTCTTACAGAGGACCCGAGTTTGGTTCCCAGCACCTGTGTCTAACAGCTCATGCCTGTGAATCTGACCCCCTTAGGGGCCTCTGTGGAGATCTGAGGGCTTCCACACACAGTCACACCGCATATGTGCTAATTAAATTATAATTTTAAAATATAAATTATAAGTATAAATACAAAAATAAAAGTTATGCCAGGTGGCGGTGGCACACACCTTTAATCCTTGCACTCAGGAGACAGAGGCAGGTGGAGCTCTCTAAGTTAGAGGCCAGCCTGGTCTACATTGAGTTCTAGTATAACCAAGGCTACTGCCTCAAAAAATTAAATTATAATAGTAACAATAGAATAAATTTTATAAAGAAAGTGCTGAGCCATCTCTCCAGCCTCGTATGTGTGAGTTTTTCCTGAATCATTTGAGGGAAAGGTCTTTTCCTTAAAACTACGATTTTTTTTTTTTTTGAGACATGATCTCTTTAGTATATATTTATGGGTATCCTGGAACTCACTCTGTAGCCCAGACTGGCTTTAAGCTTATAGAGACCTGCCTGCCTCTGTCTCTCCCTCCAACTGTCTAAATGTCTAATTTTTTTTTAAATCTTTAACATGTATTATTGTGAGTACATGCGGGGTGTGTTACAGATTGCAGTTTTATGTTGATGAAATATTTTCATCTAATGTACTATTTTTTATTATTATTAGTTGACTGAAATTTTTTGCTATTGCCAGATTGTTTGTTTGAGACAGGGTCTCACTTTCTAGCCCTGGACCAGGCTGGCCTCAGATTTACAGAGGTCCACCTGCCTCTGTCTCTCAAGGACTGGGATTAATGGCTTGTGGTACCATGCCTGCCTCTACTTATTTTATTTTTTTGAGGTGGACCCATGTAGCCCAGGCTGGTCTAGAACTCACTTGATAACCAAGGATGACATCAAACTCCAGATCCTTCTAAGGTGACCGGCAGGCTTGTGCGTTCACCCCCACCCCACCCCCAGCCCCAGGACTGTTCTCTAAAGCAGGTTTTCTTCCCGCTGGGGCTGGAATGAGGTGGTTCGCTGTCTCCAGCACTTTGAAAAACACCTTTGTCTGTTGTTTTTGGCTAGAGTAATTTTGAACAACTAAAGAAAAAAAAAAGTAATAAATAGTGCGGTCAGTCGGGTGCTGGGGAGATGGCTCAGTGGGCAGACCGTCTGCTGTGAAGTCACATCAAGTTCTTGTACCCAGCGCCATCCTGAAAGCATGCATCTGGAACCTCAGTGCTGGGGGCTCACTGGTCACCCAGTGTAGACAGTGAGGAAGCTCTAGGCTCCGTGAGAGACCCAGCCTCAAAATAAATAAGGCAGAGACTGACAAGAAAGCACACTCTCATGAGCATCACACACACCCACGCGCCACACATGCTAAACCTCCGAGGCTGGTGGGGGAGAACCAGGGAGCTAATGGGATCTGAACCGGAATCCCAGTGCTCCGTCAGCACTGACAGAGGGGTTTTCTTCTGGGCGATAGAACGTCCGCCCTCAGAGGAATCATGGGACGACACAGGAGAAACTATATCCTCCGTGCAGAAGGCCTTGTGTGGGGAGACCTGTCTGACAGTATCGTAGCAAGCTCTTAGTGGTCCCTGCAGAGATCACAGTGTGCGCAAAGGCCCGGGGCTGAGCTGTGCATCCCGGAGAAGCAGCAGGTCAGGGCGTAAAGGCGGGAAGAAGCAGCTGAGCGTGAGAGAGGAGCAGAGGAAGATGGGAGCCGGGGTGGGAAGAGTTGGGTAACAGGGTTGTGTTATTCTTGTCCAGCGTCAGCTCTCTGTGCCTCAGTTTCCATGTCTGTTCACTGAGGCTCCTCACCGGGCCTCCCTGTTACAGCGCTTCTGGGGTTTAATGAGATGAGAAAATGTGTGCCCTGCCCAGCTCGGGGCTTGGTGTGCAGGAAACCTGAGGGTGATCTGTGACAAGCTGTAGGAAGACTATGAACACCTCAGGTCCAAGCTGGCCGTGCTCCAGATGAAGGCAAGGTATCTCATACTGCCCCTCTGTCCCATCAGGTTACCCAGGTTTCCAAGCCACGACCTACGCCAGCCGCAGTTACACAGGCCTTGCCCCTGGTTACACCTACCAGTTCCCCGGTAAGTCCCCCTGGGTGACTCTCCGCCGCCAGCATGTCCCCAGTTCCAGACGGTGTGACTCCTCCGGGTGACAGCATCTCGAGTGCATGGCTGGATGCTTGGAAGGAAGGGGCGTGTCTGAGGACAAAAAAAAAAATCCTCTCGCCTCTTTCTCCCACCCTCTCCACCGAAGCTGAGAGTGTGGGGTTCCTGGTGTGGCCCTGCATGGTCCAGTCTCCACCCGGGGGCCATTCATTCTCTGCCTGTCTTCTGACTGTCTCCATCCCTGCCCGACTCCAGAATTGCCAGTCCCTCCACAGACAGCACTGGACTTGTAGTGGGGGCTACCCCAAGGGCCACTAAGAATCACCTCCTCACAAATGTACTTAAAGGTGCCATACCGAGTCTTTAAAAGATACTGAGTGACGTACAGAGCCTGAGAACTTCCATACACGCCGAACCTTAAAGCTGTAGCATAAAAGATAGCAGCAGACCTATTTTTTTTAAAACATAAATTTAAAAATACAAAACAAAACAAAACAAACCACCCTGGGCTGTCCTGTTAGTATTTAGTATTGTTTTCTGTAGAGTTTCAAATCATTCTCAGACCCTTGTTTGCTTGTCTCTGTAGTGCTGGGAGTGGACTGGACCTCACACATGCTAGGCTAAAGCTCTGGCAGAGCCACATCCTGAGTATTGTCCCTTAGTCTTTGAAACAGAGCCTAGGCTGGGCCTTAAGTTCACCATGTAGCCACGTATTCTTCTTCCGTGCCGTGACTGGTTAAGGGCAGGCATTGAACCCAGGACCTCAGGAATGTTAGATGAGGGCTCTACCACGGAGCCACACCTCCCAGTCCATTTGGGTCTTATTTACTGGAGGAGTCTCTAAGCATTTCCGTCCCCTGCCCTTGGCTGTTTAGCTTGAAGTCCTTAGTATACAAGATGCTTAACCCTCTAAGGTATCCTAGTGTATAGACTGAGAAACCACTCGGAGGACAGAGAGACGCTACAAAGATTCAGCTGGGAGGTGGTGTCACGAGGAACTAATCCCACTTAAGAACGCTGGCTGTTCCCAAGGAGGAAGCTTCAATCCTCCAGCACCCATATGGTGGCTTGCGACTGTCTTTTGACTCCTTTTACAGGAGATCTTGAACACTTCTGAACTCCAAAGGCCCCAGGCATACATATAAAATAAATAAACCTTTAGAAAACAAAACAGTCGGGGCCCCCGGATTCAGATCAGTAACAGAGTGCTTCTCTGGCTTGTGTAAAGCCCTGGGCTCAATTCTCAGCAGCAAACCTCGGAAATCCCACCGCTGGCATTGATTTGCTCCCAGGATTAGATGGCACCTCTAGTTTCATTCGTTCTTCCTTTCATAGCCCCCCCCTTTGTCTGTCTGTCTTTCTGTCTGTCTGTCACCCCTCTGCCCCACCTCACCTACTGGGACTGTGCACTCTCCAATCCCAGTTCTTGAGTCCCGTGCATGGCCTGTCCCCTCGCCCGTGGACCCTGTGGGTGCGTTTCTCCCGCCCCCCACCCCGTCATGCCAGGGGGGCTCCGCTACGATTTCCTAAGCTGTTTTACGTTTCATTTTAGAATTCCGTGTAGAGCGGACCCCTCTCCCGAGTGCCCCAGTCCTCCCCGAGCTTACAGGTCAGTGGCTCGGATTTTATACGTCTCATAGGGCCACGAGGGGAGAAAGAAGGGGAGAGGGGCCTTCCCCGGGGTAGAGGTGGCAGGATGCGGCCGACTGTACCTGGGCTCCAGCCAGTTGCTTCAGCTACACGGCCCTCGAGGGTGGAGCGGGAGGCCAAACCAGGCAGATGGAGATAAAGTCACTCATTCATTGGCAAATGAATTTGGCAAATATTTACCTAGTATCCTCCGTGTGCCAGGCACCACGGAGGCTCTGGTGCCCAGGGGTGAACAGGCCAGGGTCACAAACTTGGAGCACCGTGGGCTAAGAGAGACTTTATCCACAGAACTGGGGTGCCTGTACCCAGTGCCAACCCACTCTCGGGGATCCGAGCGTCACATCTCATTTCTCCCGAGGAGCTAGAATCCCCCAACTTAAGTCTTGTAAGAACGTTGCAGTCACACCCCAAGTTATCGAGATACTCGAGGCCCAAGTGACACGTTTCCGATGGCCCCATCTGACCCCAGGGATCCCCGTGGGCTCCTTCTAGGAAAATGAGGCCAAAGCGTTTGACCTCGAGGGAGACACAACTCCGCTCTGGAGCTGGGCCAGGCCGAGTGGTGTGCACATGAGGTGGGCCACGAGGGGCTTCTCTGTCCAACCCGCTTCTCTTCCACCCTACCTGCAGACTCTGTCCCCACCCTGGCTATGTGTGGGGAACTGCTTCAGATCTTCCTTCCAAGGGTGCAGCGGGAGGAGAGAGACACGGGTATTGGAAGGGGGGTTGGGGGGAGAGCAGGGTCCTGGCGGTGGACTTCAGGACAGCAAGGATTGGAGGGTCTGGCACTTGAAGCAGGGGTTGGGTCTTCCTTGCTCCTCACGTGAGACCTCTGTGTGAGGACCTACTGTGTGCAGCATGCACCATCAGGCTACTGGGCATGAAAGCAGGCATGCCCAGGCCCTACTCTCAATCAAACGCACAGGCCAGCGAGGCTAGCAAATATCAATTATGCCAAGAATAATTATTTACTCTGCGATAAATGCCCAGCGAGGTTGGCTACTTAGAGATTGCTTTGTGAAGGGCTAGAACCCCAAGACCTTAGTGCCCAGTGTCCACCCTGTGGCCCCTCGACAAGAAATGTCGATGCCGAAGGTGTCTTGGCAGAGAAGCAACACGGACGGACTCCAAGCCCCTGTGGCCTTTTGGAGTCTGAACTTTTTTTTTGTTTTTTCTTGGCTTGGAACAGAGATCCGAGTATTTCTTTTATATGTTGGGTACATATTTATCGTGCCGATGCTTAGCCAGGCACTAGGGGTGAGGGTGGGGGGACACACACAACTGAGCAGATAAGCCCCCCCCAGCCCCGCGGGAGCTGGTCTCTAATAAAGGCGGATGGATTAATTAGGTAAATGGAGGTTCCTTGGGAAGATAAAACAAAAGCTAAACTGAGTGCTTAGGGCTTCAAGCCGGTCGAAGAACTGAAGGAATAGGTCAAAGGTGAGGGGGCGGAGTCTCAGTGAGGGGATGGGTGGGCGAGGGGGCGGAGTTTCAGTGAGAAGAAGCTGATTGGATGGTTTAGAAAAACGTGTATCCAGAACTCAGGCACCACCGTGTCCTGGGTTTGGGTCTTCTGGTAGTCTGCCTGTCTCCCGCGCACGGAGCCCTGGTTTTAGGCCCCAGCCCTGTACAGTACCAGTTGGTTATGGTGGCAGGACACACAGCAGCAGGAAGCTGCGGAGCTGGGCGCTCATCAGCCTGACCCCCGAGCAGAGCTCTGTGGCTCACAGTCCCCAGGAGGCCCTGCCTTGAGACAACAAGCCTGGCTTCTGTGCCCCGGGCCAGTCAGTAACTAGCTCCGAAAAGGAACAGAGGCCAATGGAGTCAACAAACCTGGACCCTTGGGGTCCTCAGAGTCTGACCCACCAACCAAAGAGCATACACGGGCTGGACCTAGGCCTCCCCGCACTTATGTAACAGATGTGCAGCTTGGTCTTCATGTGTGTCCCGAACAACTGCAACGGAGGTGGGGGGTGGGGGGAGTGTGCCCCAAAAGCTGTTGCCTGTCCGTGGGTTATGTTCTTCAGTGGGAGAGGAAGCGGCCAGCCTCACAGAAACTTGAAGTGCCAGGATGGGGGGTGGGGATACCCACGTTGTCCCCACCCACTCAGAGGAGAAGGGGAGGATGGGGGAAGGATTGTGGGAAGGGGGCAGTGAGCGGGATGTAAAGTGAATACATAAAAAATTAAATTAAATTTAAAAAAAAAGAAAAAGAACCTGACACCCAGGCCCCTCTAAGCCAGACAGCCACTGTCCTGCCGAGGACAGTGCTTTCTCCACAGGAGGTCAGGACCGTTTCCTCAGGTTACCCAGGCACGTCCTAGGGTCCGGTATGGAGACTGAGGCTGGGCTGCTCCCTAGGACGCGTTAGGTCAGAGTGCAGAGTGCTGTCCATGCTGTCTGTGCTTTGACCCCCTCTCCACGCGAGGACTAGGCGGGAGAAGTGCTACCAGGCGGTAGGGTCTTTTCCCCTCATCAGCTCTTCCTCCCGCTCAGTGTGCACCCACTTTGTCTTCCAGCTATCCCTCTCACTGCTTATGGGCCGATGGCAGCGGCGGCAGCGGCGGCGGCTGTAGTCCGAGGGACAGGTGAGGCCTTCTGGGAAGGGAACACAGGAAGGGGGCGGAAGAGTTCAGAAGGAAGAGAAGAGGTTCCTTCCCTGCCCCATGACAAAGGGGTTTGCTTGTTACCCAAGTATTGGCTGAATTGAGCCTATGAGCCAGCCAAGAATGACACTGGTCGTGTCCCCAGAGCATGCAAGCTGTGGAGTGTCCGCGTGCAAAGGATCACGACCCTGCAGATCACTGCTGCGGCTCTGGGGACACTGAGCACTAGAAGAGTTGCCAGCTGCTGCTCTAGGGAAAGTTGAGAAAAGGCTTATGGGAGAAAGATGAAGGAAACAACAAGGGCTGTTGTAGGCCAGGGGACAACCAGTTTGCACTGGTCAGTTACAGGAACAGGGAGTGGGCAAATGGAGTCTCAAGCAACAGTGAAAGTTGGCCAGCCTTGGAAAATGCACTAGACTGAGAGACAGAGGAAGACTTGAGTGGGCTCAGAGGGAGGGGAGGCTGTGCAGCGGTCAGACAGGACATGGTGGAGGCCAGAGAGGATGAACTAGGCAGTCTCCAGGGAGAGGAGTCTCAGATCCAGGGCTGGGGTGGGAGGGGATTGGAGCGGGTGTGTGGGGTGGTCTTGGGCACCCGGGCTATCACTCTGTTCTTTCTGGGTTGCTAGGCTCTCACCCCTGGACGGTGGCTCCCCCTCCAGGTTCCACTCCCAGCCGCACGGGGGGCTTCCTGGGGACCACAAGCCCCGGCCCCATGGCTGAGCTCTACGGAACAGCCAACCAGGACTCGGGGGTCAGCAGTTACATCAGCGCCGCCAGCCCCGCCCCCAGCACTGGTTTCGGCCACAGTCTTGGGGTGAGTGGCCAGGCCCGATGGCCTCCACCTCACCCCCTTCATTCTGAGAGATGTCTGAAACTAGGGGAGGGAGAGGCCTTGTCTATCTGGGGGTTGGGGGGGTTGAGGGCTTTACCCTGGACACTGTCCAGTGGCTCCAGGATGTTGTGCAAATGCAGTACCATGTCCTTTCTGTGTGGTCAGTCCAGCTCAGGAACATCCCAGTTTTAACCAGGGAGCTGGCTCTCCGCAGATTCCCAGGCCTGGCCTTGTACACGCGTAGGTCTGTACCATTAGCCAATCGGTACCAGGGAAACCCATGTCAGCCAGAAGAACCCGTGTCTCACCACAGGAGTCCCACTAGGATGGCAGGAGCCCCTGGTCTGTCTGAACACACCCCAGGATCCTAGGAGTCTAACTCTTTTCTTTTCAGGGTCCCCTGATTGCCACAGCCTTCACCAATGGGTACCACTGAAGCAGGGAGGAAGTGGCAGGAGGTGAGGAGATGGGGAGGGGTGGGGGGGGGCACTGGGCCACCAACCCTCAGCTGTGCTATCCAGAATGCCACCCCTGTCTCCACTCCATAGAGTTCACAGACCACGGCAGGCGACAGGCCTGGATGCTTAGCCCGCCATGGTGCGATTTAAGTTAAGCCAGGCATGGTGGCACGTGCCTGTCTATAATCTGAGGCCGATTACTACAGGAGGATTACTTTGAGTTGTAGGCCAGCTAAGGGGTACATGGCAAGGCTCTGGGAAGATGTCTGAGTTGGTGAAGTAACTGTTAAATGAACAAGAGGACCTGAGTTCAGATCCCTAGACCCCACAAAAAGATGAGCACAGTGGCCCGGACCCAGGACCCCAGCACTGACATGTGAGTCCCCAACACTCCTCAGCCAGCCATTCTAGCCCAGGTTCACTGGGAGTCCCTGTCCTAGAAAATAAAACTGGAGAAGGCAGTTGTCATCAACCTCTGACCTCCACACACACGCCCACATCCCTGTGCTTACGTCCTCACATGTACATGCGTACACCACAGGCATCTGCACAAATAACCTTTATAAATTAGCCCAGCACAGGGGAGGCAGAGGCAGCAGCTAGATTACAAGTTCAAAGCCAGACCGGGCTACACAGTGAGCTGCCTACACAGTGAGCTGCCTACACAGTGAGCTGCCGGGTCAGCCTGCTATGCATAACAAGACCTTGTGTTAAGAAGCCCAATATTAGCGAGGCAGAGGCAGGAGAGTCTCAGTGAATTCAAAGACAGCCTGGTCTACAGAGTGAATTCTAAGACAGCCAGGGCTACAGAGCAAAACCCTGTCTCAAAAAACAAAAGAGAGAGAGGGAGAAAGAAAATGAATGGATGAATGAATGAATATGATAAATATGTAAATGAAATATAATTAATCAATATTTACAAATCAGTCCAATATTTCATTGGATTAACAAAGATTTTTTTTTTTTAAATGACACCCAGCATTGCTCTCTGTAAACTGGCTCCAAGTTCCCAAGGGACAGTGTTATTATGGGTGGAGATTTTTAATTTGTGCTCTCATTGAACCCAGGCAGGACTTACGTGTGCCTAGCATGATGTGCACTGAGTCACAGCCCAAGCCCCATGCAAGTTTGTTTTTGTTTAAATTTATTGTATCTGTATGAGTATTTTTCCTGTGTATATGTATGCCCACTGTGTGTGTGTGTGTGTGTGCGCGCGCATGTGTCTGTGTGTGTGTGTGTACGTGCATGTCTGTATGTGTGTGTGGTGCCTGCTGATGCCAGAAGAGGGCACCAGAGCCTCTGCACCCGGAGTTACAGGCAGTTGTGAGCCCAGGCGGGTGCTGGGAACTCAGGTCCTCTGCAAGAGTAACAAGTGCTCCTAAACACTGAGCCATCTCCAGCCAGATCTTTAAACATCCGTGTCCCTTGATGCAGTAATAACCACTCCTGGGCATCTATTTTGAAAACTGCAAACTGGCCAGCAATGGTGGCTCATGCCTTTCATCCCAGCACTCAGGAAACAAAGGCAGATGGATCTCTCCCAAGTTCGAGGCCAGCATGATCTACAGAGCTAATTCCAAGCTATCCAGGGATACACAGAAACCCTGTCTCAAAAAAGAAGAAAGGAGGAGGAAGAAGAAGAGAAAATATATATATATACTGTATATGCATATAGTATGCATACTATAGGAAATTACACAGCTTCTAAAATAAGCTATAAATTAGGCTTATTATATGTGTAATCCCAGTACTCAAGAGGCGTATGGCGGAGCCCAGCCCACGACACACATCGTAAATCTTTTTAAAGTTGTAAAATTAATGGTCCAGGAGAGACGGTTTGGCGGTTAAGAACACATGCTACTCTTTAAGGGGGCTGAATTCACATCAGGTGGCTCAAGACCTGGAACTGCAAGCTTCCGGGAATCCAGCAGTGCTGTCTCTTCTCCACAGACTCCCGTACCCTTGCACATACATGCACGCACACGCGTACACACACATGCACACGCACGCACAAGTGAATATCGGTGTTTTTTAAATTTTTTTTTGAGACAGAATCACACTGTAGCCATGGCTGGCCCGGAACTTGGTGTGTAGAGCAGGCTGACCTCAGATCAGAGATCTGTCTAAAGGACATGCACCACCACGCCCGGCAGTGAACATAGTCGAACACATAATAATAAATAATAGTGAGGTATATGAAAAACATAATAAGAATACAACTAACACATGAGATAACTTCCAAATAGTTTACACGGTGCTGTTTTCATTGGGGTTCAGATAAAGCTTCCCAGAAACACGACATAAACCTAGCCATTCAAGATCTGGGGAAAGGCCGGGCAGTGGTGGCTCACACCTTTAATCCCAGCACTTGGGAGGCAGAGGCAGGCGGGTTTCTGAGTTTGAGGCCAGCCTGGTCTACAGAGTGAGTTCCAGGACAGCCAGGGCTACACAGAGAAACCCTGTCTTGAAAAACCACACAAAAAAAAGAAAAAAAGAAAAAAGAAAAAAAGGATCTGGGGAAAGTGCCCAGGGCCATCTCTGCATGTAACAGGAAGTGCAAAACTGAACAAAATCCATCGAGAAAGGGATTAGGAACGACGGCGGGCATGCCTGGTCTGTGGGCCCTAGAGACAGACAGACAGACTTCGGTTCCAGTCAGAGCCCCACAATATCTTGCTATTGCCTTTCAGCGCCCCAGCCTGCAGCTGACTGAGGACCAGAGTGAGCCAGCAAGGGGATTGGGACACCTCAGCCGCAGCAGCCCAGCCCCTTGGCTGCAACTCGGACCGCTACTGCCTGTCCCTCAACCCCTGGGCCCAGCCCCCGCCCTGCCATCCCGTCTGCCCGCTACTAACCTCCCCTGTTCTGACCTTGCCTCCTCTTCCCCACCTGCCTCTCTCCCTGTTCGCTTTTATTTATTTTGGATTAGCCAGTTACCCTTCCCCCCACCAGATCTGCCCTCTCGGGTCTGCCCCGTCCCTCCCTGCTGCCCCCTTTAGGACACCCCCCAGGAAGGCTTTTTGTATCTGCATAGCTGGAGGGCGGGCAGAGGAGGCCTGGGCAGAGGAGGCCTGCTACAGACCGAGGCCCCAACCTGGTTCTTTTTTTTTTTATTTTTTATTTTATTCTGGCTTTTCCCTCTTTTGCTTTATTTTTTTTTTTAAAGAAACTGTTTTTAAACTATTTCTAGGTTTGTGAATGTGAAGCCCCGAGGCCGCAGGGGGCAAGGGGCCAGGTGCCCCCCCACCAGCTGAGAACATAGTGTCTATGTGGGTGTGGGTTCCTGGCCTCCTCCCTCCAGCCCTGGAGAGGAGGGCAGGGCTGCGGGGTAGGCCAGGCCGAGCCCCTGGAACCATCCCGTCCTGTATCATATGTAAATACTGTGAGGTGAAGCCCTACCCCTACCCTTCTCTAAGACCCCTTGGGGTGACAGCGTTTGCCTGACCCCACGGGGCAAAGGTACCTACCCCCCTCCCCTTCTCCCTGTCTCTGTCCCTTCCTCCTCAGACACCGTTACTGTAAGCTTTCAGACCTCAGCCCTGGCCACGGCAGGCCCACACTCTCAGGCTCTCCCCGGGTTCAAGGCCTTGGGCGGACTCTCCCCAAGAACTCCCCAATTGGGGGAGGCAAGGGGCCAGGGAAGAGAAGGGCTTGCCTAGAGCCACTGCTGGAAAAGAATTGGCTCTCCACAGGCCCCTCCTGGCCCCTGTCTAGGTGGGACCTTCGTGGTTTCTGCTCTGAGCCCCCCACCATGCGTGGGCATTGGGAAGCGCTTGAGCAAGGAGTAGATACCAGGAAAGCAAAGGGCTTCTCAGGGAACCCCCACATTCTCACTGAAGTTTCCCACCAGGATAGTCCCTTGACCAGAGCCCTTGGTAACCCCCCTACCCTGGAGCCCCTTTCAGAGGAAAGAGACGGGCTCAGGGTGTGAACATGAGGTGAGACCTGGCATGGCTGGGCTGAGTCTACCTGCTGTCACCCCCTCTCTGTCCTTCCCGAGGCTGGGGGCTCAAGCTCCCATCCCCAGCAGAGCCCCGCCACCCCCGGCCTTCAAAGCCCCCTTTGGAGAGTTAACTGTCCGTGTGAGGCACTCACTCAACCAATAAGCCCCGAGAACTCAAAGCAATAATCTTCGTCACCGAGATGCGCGGCTGTTTGCGTTTGTTGTTGGGTTTTTTGGTTTTTTTGTTTTTAATATTTCCTAATAAAAGAGAAGCTTTTTATTGGATTTTATCTTTAATTTTTCTACTCTGAGCTGGGCCCCCAGGAGACTTTGGCTTCTTTTCTCCCCCATCCCTGGATCCTCTCACCCCACTGGGGCCTAACTGTGGTTCAGGGACCCAGATTTACATTTCTGATTTGTTTGAGGAAAACAAAAAACAACAACAAACTTTCTTTTTAAGATGTTACATGGTGTTTTGAAGCCAGCAAGTTCCACCCTCGGTGTCTTTTCCCTCCACATCTGTAACTTCTTTTCCAGGTTTTATTTTGTTTTAAATTCCTAATAAATTATTTGAAAATACTTTGCCTTTATTCATGTGCGTATATGGATGCACGCGTGCACACACAAAAACAATACCAAAAAAAATGTTTATGAATCATAAGGGCCAGGTTTGGTGTGTGCTTATAATCCCAGGAATCAGGAGACCAGGGCAAAAGAATCATAAACTCCTCCTGCTGGGCGGTGGTGGTGCATGCCTTTAATCCCAGCACTTGGGAGGCAGAGGCAGGCGGATTTCTGAGCTCGAGGCCAGCCTGGTCTACAGAGTGAGTTCCAGGATAACCAGGGCTACACAGAGAAACCCTGTCTCAAAAAACCATTAAAAAAAAAAAAAAAGAATCATAAACTCCAACCTAGCCTGACTCCATAGTGAAACCCTGTCTCAAACCAACAGGAAAAAGCCATGCATAATGGTTTGCGACCACAGTCCTAATACTTGGGGCTGAGACAGGAAGATCCCTGCAAATTCAAGGTAGGTCTGGGCCACATAGTTCCAAGACAGCCAGAGGTACACAGGTCCTGTCTCACCTCCCACTCCAAACAAACAAAAGCCCCAACCATAAAACAGTTTCGGGGGCGGGGCATGGTGATACACAGCTCCTGGGAGACAGAGGCGATCAGAGCTTTCTGTGAGTTCAAGGCCAACCTGGCCTACATGTTAAGGATCTCGTCTCAAAAAACAAAACTCTGGTTAGCTTTTTTTTTTTTTTCTGAACTTTTGTGGTTTGTGGCAGTTGGACTCATATCATCAGGCTGATAAGTCAAGCGTTTTGACTCTGTGACTCCTCTCATTTGCCCTAAAGAAAATTTGAAAACATTAAATGACTCAAGCATGGTAAGGGTGCTTGTTACACAGGCCCGGTAACCTGAGTTAGCTCCCTACAACCCACGCAAAGATGGAGGGAGAACTGACCCCATAGGGTTTACCCTTTGACCTCCAAAAAGGTTTCCATGGTAACACACAATTTCTTTCTATTTTTTTAAAGGTTTATTTAGAGTACAATGTAGCTGTCTTCAGATGCATCAGAAGAGAGTGCCAGATCCCATCACAGATGGTTGTGAGCCACCATGCAGTTGCTGGGAATTGAACTCAGGACCTCTGGAAAAGTAGTCAATGCTCTTAACCACTGAGCCATCTCTCCAGCTCCCAACACATGATTTCTTAACTACTCTTGTCCTGACCTATTTTTCTCCTAGGAATGGTCCTGATTTTCCACTTGACCCGACTCTGTCTCCAGCTTCTTGACCAAGTTCAGAAGAAAAAAACAGGAAGAGAAAAGAAAAAAGAAGAAAAAGCCAGTAAGAAACAAAGAGGGGTACTTGGGAGGCAGTGGCAAGCAGATTTCTGCGTTCTAGGCCAGCCTGGTCTACAGAGTGAGTTCCAGGACAGCCAGGACTACACAGAGAAACCCTGTCTTTTTTTTTTTTTCCCTTCGAGAACTCACTCTGTAGACCAGGCTAGCCTCGAACTCAGAAATCCACCTGCCTCTGCCTCCCAAGTGCTGGGATTAAAGGCGTGCGCCACCACTGCCCGGCGAGAAACCCTGTCTTGAAAAACCAAAAAAAAAAAGAAAAAGAAAAAAAGAAAAGAAAAAAGAAACAATGAGGAATGAAGGACAACTAGGACAACTAGACAAAGCCCTGGACCGTTTGCATCGCTGATGGGAATGTCAGCAGTGTAGCTGGGCTGGGGGCACGGGGCTAGCCTACTTGGTAGAATCCTATATGAAAGATCTTGATCAAATCTGTTGAAATTGCACGAATGGGTCCTGTGACATAACTCCGTGACAGAGGACTTGCCTAGCGTGTGGGGCCTGGGGGCTCATTCCCCAGGTTCGCAAAGACAAAAACAAAACCCCTCCAAGACGACTGTAATAGTCGTCCGTGGCTAGGAGGGAAGGATTTCCGGGGTGTAGCGTGAAACCTTAACAACGGGATTATGCATCGTACCATTGAACCATCAGACTAGAAATGAAGATGACTTTTCCTTTACCCCCATAATAAAAAGGTTCTTGAGGAGCTGAAGAGGAGTGAAGAACCCAATGGCTAAGAACACTGTCCCTCTCACAGAGGACAGGGTTTCATCTCCCAGCACCCACACTGAACCTCCTACAACCTCCTCCTCACCCCAGTCCTGGAGCATTTGACATCCTCTTCTGGCCTCCGCCGTCTCTTGCCAGGTACACGTACAGCCGGGCAGGTGTGCACACATGCATACAAATAAAAACTAAACAGTCAATAAAAACGGAAGCGGTTAGAGCTACCAAGGGTGACAGTGGGTACCACACAAGTCTGAAGACCTGAGTTCTATCTCTAGATGCCTGTGAAAAAGCCAGATATGGCTGCAAGGGACTGTAATTCTGTAATCTCGGCACTCCTACCTCAGGAAGAGCAGCAGAGAATCACACAAAGGCAGAAATAAGGTGGAGGGAAAGAGCCAACTCCAGAAGTTGTCCTCCGACCTCCACATGTGTCCTGTGGCACATATGCACTCTCCCTCCTCCCTCCCTCTCTCCTCCCTCCCCTTCTTCTCTCTCCTTCCTTCCCCTCCCTCCTCTTCCTCTTTTTCCTTCCTCCCTCCCTTTTTCTCCCTTCTTCCCTCCCTCTTTCTCCCTTCCTCTCACCCCCTCTCTCTGTCTCTCTTTCTGTCTCACACACATACACACCAATAAAATAAAAGAGAAGGAGATGACTGGAGGTGTGACCGTGCTCCACTAGCCTGCATCTGGCTCTTAGGGTTACTGGAGCCTACGTCAGCCTGCCAAGTAGCCGGGACCACATGTGTGTGACGCCACCACTGTGTGTGTGTGTGTGTGTGTGTGTGTGCTCCTGTGAGTGGAGTGGGCACATACATGTGTATAGGTGTGCACTTGTATGCGAAAGCCTGAGATAACATACAGTCTCTCTCCGTCTCTCTCTATTCATTCACAAGGGTCTCTCAATCGAGCCCAGAGCTCTCTGATATAGAATAGCCAAGCTAGCCAGGTTGCTGGGTGGCTGGGATCCCCTTTCTCCAACTCGCTGTGCGTTGCAAGAAGGCTACCATGCCCTCCCCCACTGCCCCCCAGCACTGAATGAGCTCTGGAGATTTGAACCCTGGTCCTCTTGCTTGCAAGTATTTTTTTTTTTAATTCACTGAAGCGTCTTCCCAGCCTTCTCCCTTTTCATTATTTTTTTCTTCTTTTTACTTTATCTGTAGAAGAGATGCTTTGCCTGAATGGATGTATGGGGACCAAGTGCATGCCTGGTGCCTGCAGAGACCAGAAGAGACCATATGGGTATTGGGAATCGAACCTGGGTCCTTTGGACAGTGTTTTTAAACTTCTGCGCTATCTTTCCAGCCCCTGCCCACCCACCTTGTTTTCAGACACGGTTTCACTCTGTAACCCAGGTTGACTTGGAACTCACAAGTCCCCTGCTTCAGTTTCCCAAGTGCTGGGTTCTCAGGCCTGCAGTACAACCCCACCTCTTTCTATCTCCATCACTTTCAGGCTGTGTGACTTTGAACAAATTATCTAACTTCTCTGAGCCCACTTCATCCTGTTGAGTGGGGACGAT